TAATAGATGAAAATAATACACATGGCCTGGTCAAGCATTCAGGCTGAGCAAGGAAAAGATGAAAACCTATAGTTCCCTTTCCCCACATTTGGGACTTATCCCAAACAATGTTTTAATAGGATAAGCTAGTATTATTTGAAGTTGCAGGAGCTTAAAGTTCATCATTACCTTTGTTCTCTTGGTTGGGACTTCTCCCCATTGGTCCCTGCTGCATGGACAAGACAGAGTGAGAAAAGCGTAGTCTTGCATGGCATGCGGCTCCCTGGCTGGAAGCCACAGAAGATAAAAACGGAAGAGAGTAAGGCAGCTTTTTCCTGGTGTCCTGAGAATTTACAATGTACTGTGGAGAGTCCATCCCCACTGTGGGGTCATTTTGATCTTCCTTCCTCAAGAGCAGGAGAATATATTCTGGCAATCTAGCTGTGAACAGAAAATAATTCCAGAGAGGTAGCCATGTTTATTTGTTGCAGTAAAACAAAACAGAAGTCGGGTGGAATCTTAAAGATTAATAAAATTTATTCCAGAACAAGGCTTTGCGAGTCAGGGCTCACTTCATCAGATGCAGGTCAGACAAACAGAAAAGTCATTGCAGGAATATTAAATATTTATAGGTTTGAATGCACAAAATACAATTTTTTAAAAATGGGGAAATATGAATGGGGGGGGGAGGACTTCAAAGGAAAAAAATCTCTGCTGAAGAGCCCAGAACAGAACCCAGATTTCCTGAGCTGGTTTTTTAAACACAAACCCGCCCTTATTTGTTTCCTATAATACAATGATGTACTATACGGAATATAAATAGTAGTTTACACTGTGAAAGGATGCTTATCATAAACCAGGAAGTGAGACAAGAACATTCCCTGCCTACACATGCACCAACAGACTTGCCTGTATGATGATCTGCATACGTTTTTAGCTTGGTGGGCCACACTTCTGGATTCGAATTAGAATTTCATTTGATGTAGCCTGGTCACTGCAATGCATTATAAAGATACAAACACATCTCTTGATGTAGATTACCTCTTAATGCCTTTTAGCCACTCTGTCATACTCCTAGTTGGTGATTTGAACAGTTTTTTCTTCTTCATCCCATCCTTCCGTCCAAGAGCTCAGGGTAGTGTACATCATCTTCTTCATTTTCATCTCATCCTTCTGTCCAAGAGCTCAGGGTAGTGTACATCATTTCCCCATCTTCCAGATAATCTTTACAACTATGTTAAGTAGGTTAGGTGTGTGGCCCAGGTTACTCAACTAACTTTATGGTGGGGGGAGGATTCGAACCCGTGTTGCTCAGATCCTAGTCTGACACGCTATGCTTTGCGACACTGGCACTCGTGGCTTTCATCCTTTCAATGGGCAGATTTATTTATTTTATTTAGAAAATTTATATGCCACATCTCCAGAGACTTGCTCAAGTTGGATTCTAGGATAATGTTTTATCCTCATATCAACGTTGCAAGGAAGATTAGGCAAAACCTCCACAGAGAACAGACTGCAACCAAAATGTAGCTGAGAGGTGATCTATAAACTGAGTGTCTACAAAGAAATTATCTGGAATATTTGGCAGCATTAGACTAAGTTAAACATAATATTTTCTTGCTAATGTTTGCCACCAAGCTATAGTTCCCACATTTTAGTTATACTGTGACAGTGAAAAACAATCTAATTTTTGGTAGAGCTGTACTAAAAATAAGGAATTAGTGAATGAAATCTAACTGTAAAACCACTACACAGAATGAAACAATCAAAAAAAGCCAGATATACTTCCATCCTTGGCATGAGGCCTGCACCTCAGGGACATTTGCACTCTTCCTGTTCCTCCAGCAGAAGCTGATTCAAGGTAGTTACCAACCATCAGCCCCACTGGGCTAGGGCCCTGCCCACTTTCCTGAAACATGGGTCAGGTGCTACATTGAGGAATGGTTCTCAGAAGAGCCACAGGTGGCATGCCAAAGAGCCACATGGGGCTCCTGTGCATCACTGTATTACAGCCATACAAATAACCCCTTTCTAGGAACACTATACAGTATCACAATCTGTATTTTCCATTGTTAACGATTTCTATGGCAAAATGATGCAGATGAGTGTGTCACTTGTCAACGCTGATGTCACAGCGACGCTATCTCCAGAGACTTGCTCAAGTTGGATTCTAGGATAATGTTTTATCCTCATATCAACGTTGCAAGGAAGATTAGGCAAAACCTCCACAGAGAACAGACTGCAACCAAAATGTAGCTGAGAGGTGATCTATAAACTGAGTGTCTACAAAGAAATTATCTGGAATATTTGGCAGCATTAGACTAAGTTAAACATAATATTTTCTTGCTAATGTTTGCCACCAAGCTATAGTTCCCACATTTTAGTTATACTGTGACAGTGAAAAACAATCTAATTTTTGGTAGAGCTGTACTAAAAATAAGGAATTAGTGAATGAAACCTAACTGTAAAACCACTACACAGAATGAAATTGACACATTAATTAACACCCAAAAAAGCCACATATACTTCCATCCTTGGCATGAGGCCTGCACCTCAGGGACATTTGCACTCTTCCTGTTCTTCCAGCAGAAGCTGATTCAAGGTAGCTACCAACCACCAGCCCCACTGGGCTAGGGCCCTGCCCACTTTCCTGAAACATGGGTCAGGTGCTACATTGAGGAATGGTTCTCAGAAGAGCCACAGGTGGCATGCCAAAGAGCCACATGGGGCTCCTGTGCATCACTGTATTACAGCCATACAAATAACCCCTTTCTAGGAACACTATACAGTATCACAATCTGTATTTTCCATTGTTAACGATTTCTATGGCAAAATGATGCAGATGAGTGTGTCACTTGTCAACGCTGATGTCACAGCGACGCTGATGCTACTTAGGTGGTGCTGCCTATAAGTATGTAACTGTGCCCAGTTTTCGAGTTGCATCCTCTGTGATAATCTGAGGGATATGTCGGATTACTCTCAGACTTTCCATTGCAGCCATTCGGTGAGACAAAATATCAGGAGTCTGCTGCATGCCGACTCTAGCTTTCTGATGAATATAAAGAGCCCCATAGCTAGACTTTTATTTCATGGGGGGGGGGCCACAGTGGTTAATTTAATTATCAGGCTGCCGCTGGGGGCAGAGCTGGCTGTGCACTCGCTTGCTTGGCCAAGCCGGCATCAGTCAGCCAGCTGACCACTCTCACCACTGCCCTCCTGACCAGCAGCCATGCCCTTTGCACGTGCTGGGGCTGGAGGCGGAGCTGGCTGGGGGTGGAGCTGGCTGTGCACTCGCTCACTTGGCAGTCCCTTTTCCTCTCTCTTCTTCTCTCCCCCCGCCCCCCGCCATATGCTTTCTCCACATACCCAGGGAACCAGGTGTGAGAGAGAAACGTTGCAGTGAAGGGCTTGGAGCAGCAGCAGCTGTAGGCTTTCCAGGTAGGGAAGAGGAGGGTAGAAGCAGCCAGGTAAGTTGCAAAGCCTTCCCCCCCACCACCAGCGCTAAGGCACAGAGCCCAGGGAAGGCCTCCGGAGCCCTGCCACCCACCTTTCCCAGAACCTGCAGGGTGGCGGCGGTGGGGGGTGTTGCTTGGGGGGGTGGGCCATGGGGGATCTGCGAGGGCAGATCTGCGTGTGTCCCCCCCATAGCTAGCAATCCAAAACAGTCCAGTGGAGCCTGAGCAGTGGGTGTTGCCTTCTGACACTTCCGGTGATGTCAGGGGGTGTGGCATATGCAAATGTTATGCTAATGAGTTATGCTAATGAGCTCCTGCGCCTCTTTTTCTACGAAATGACCCCTGTATAGCCCTGAATATAAACTAGATCAGATATTAATTGCAAAAAAAGAAAAAATACAGTTCAATCCAAAAATTCCCTTCTTCCAAGTGGAAGGGAGTCCTTGTTTTAAATCCATTGATGGACTAACAATAAAGAGTAATAAACATCACACATTTGATCTGAGAAACAGCCCTTTGGCCAGATCTTTGGTTTATCACACTCTGCATTTCTTCTGAAATTATTCTCCCTAGATCCTCCATTCTACATAAATGTTATGTGACAGGCTAGGCATTACAGAAACTGCAGACTATGCATGATGCATGATGAAGCAACAATATATAGGTCATTAGTTTAAACTGTCTGAAATGTCAATATCTTTTTAAAAAATAGAATTAAGGTTCTTCCAAAGGGCTGAGTCCAGGGGAGTCACGACGTTGTGCAGAATCAATGAGGAGCCTTGAAGATATTTGAGGATTAACAAGGATGTTGAATCCAAAACCACCAGGCAATTAAGCTACTACAAAAAATGGGTCCGGCAGATTAAAAGACCATTAACTGTAGCAAAAGACACCAAACTTTGGGCAGTTGTCTCTAAATAGCTCACATAGCCACATCATAAACTGCAGAATCCAATACTGTTTTTATTTGCCCCTATGTAAAATCCACTTGCCACAATCTAACACAGAGCTATATATGCTTTAGCCCATTGACAATCAACATTTATCCCTGTGGGTGCTTCTATACAAAACTTCCTGTTGCAAATACAGAGGCATTTGCAATGGCAATGGAATGTTCATATGACAATTTCCCCTGTACTTTTCTTGCTTTAATCTCATTTACCTCCTGTGCCACTGGAGAGGTCTGTGGGTTTTTTAAAATCAGTAATTGATGTATCACCCTGACCTGGATAGCCCAGGATAGTCCAATCTTGTCAGATTTCGGAAGCTAAGCAAGGTCAGCCCTTGTTAGTATTTGTATGGGAAACCACCGCGCAATACCAGGGTTGTGACGCAGAGGCAGGCAATGGCAAAGCACCTCCGAATGTCTCCTGCCTTGAAAATCCTACAGGGTCACTATCAGTTGGTTGGTGGCTTTTAAAAATGTTTGTTGATGTATTGCTATAGCATTATAACACTGTAGCTTTGTCATACTATAGCGATATGTCAATTGACATATCGCTATAGTATGACAAAGCTACCGTGTTATAATGCTATAGCAATACGTCAACAAACATTTTTAAAAGCCCCCCATCAAAAAAACCCCACTCTGCTAGCATGGGGGGAGTGGTAGCTACAGGGGGACTGAGGCAAGGAAAATGATGCCAGTGTTTGGTGGGACTGGGGGAAAAAAATCTGCGCCTTCCCATCCACACTGGTGCAAACGTGCTTTGGGGATGCAATCACTCCAAAAGGATCATCCCAAGGTAGGTTTAGGAATTATCGCTGCAAAGCAAGGGGAACATTGGGAGGTGTATAAAAGCATAATGATACTGTGTAGATGCTGGGGGGAAGTCCCCCTTCCTCTTTGGCAGTTGCTGTGAACTGAAACAGCCATATGGAGGCTGATCATGTTGGACTGTGGCCATTATCTGTAACATTGCCAATTTATACAGAGGTGAATGTGGAACGCATATGTCACAATATGTTTTAGACCAATTTGTTTAAAAGGAAGACTGCAAGAACACAAATTTAAACCTTGTCAGGGCTGAAGTCTGATGGCCTCACTTTCATGGCAACAGATTTCAGAGAATACCACCACCCATGCCATGTAAACCACACGATTCCGTTGTCTGTCGCTGCTGAGTAGGGTCCATTGTAATACAAGCCATTCAGGTTGGCAGAGTGACATCTGGAAGGAGAGGAAAGGAGAAAAGCAGAAAAAGAAAATATTTCCTTTAGATTTGAACAAAACTATCTATTAACTTTGGCATTTATACATAGCAAATGTGGCTTGTTGCTAGAATCTAATTATATCAAGCTTTTTCTAACTCTTCAAGTATTTCAGAACGGATCAGAACAAGCTGATGATGAACTCTACAACTGAGCACATCAACATGTAACTTCTAGCTGATTTTTGTTAAAGATGACAGGTTGGAAAACATCTTGAACACCAAATTTCCAAAATGTAAGAGTAAAAGGGGTACATTTTACCATATGTGGTGGCTATGCGATGTTACTAAAAAGTTTTGGAAATGGGTCCATAGTTTGATGGAGAAGATACTAAGAACAAGGATTCCATTTACTCCAGAGGTCTTGCTGTTGAATATATTTCCAAAGGATTATGAAAAAGAGAATAGGTATTTGACTGTTTATATGACGACAGCTGCAAGAATCTTATATGCCAAATATTGGAAAACCATGGTGATACCAACGAAACAGGAGTTTGTGAATAAACTTTTTGAAACAGCAGAAAATGATAAACTGACACTGGAAATGAGATTAAGTAAAGAGTGGACATTTCAAAAAACATGGAAAAAGTTTTATGATTGGTATAATGCAAATGTAATAGAAGACTAGGCAAGAATAGCGCAATGGACTTGAGAACACAGAAGATAGAAGAATGGAAAGTATTTGATATAGAGTTTTTATTAATTAAGTAATTGCATATAAGCATATAATGTAACTGTACTCTTGGTATATATGTTATGTGTAGTAGAGTGTCTGTTTGTAGTGTGTAGATTTGTTTGTTGTAGATTTAAGAAATTAATAAAAGTGTACCTATGGGTACTTAAAAAAAAGAAAAGAAAACATCTTGAACACCAAATTTCCAAATCAATGTGTTGTGGTGAGGTTATAGTTTACACCTGCAACCCTCTGTATTTATGGAGTTCAATGCTACTAAACAATTACAAGGAATCTTGGAATTCAAGACCATATTTCTCAAAATGGCAGGGAGACCTTCCAGGAAGGCACATAGTTAAAACTCCTCGATGCAGTCTAGATTTTGTGTGGAAACAGATGCTGGGTAATCACAGGGTAGCCGCTTTTTAAAAGATCGTGCAGGAGTCGTAACTGCTTAGAAAGGCAGTCATCTGTAGCCTCTAACCATGTGGTGAACCCAGATTACTGAATATCTTGCTCCTGTGGTTTATTCAGCAATTAGAAGTGGTGGTGGTGGTGGTGGTTGTAGCCCAAGGACCCATAGCCTTCACCAGCTTCTGTCCTGGACAAACTGATCCCAATCCAGTCTATCAAGAGGCCAGAAACCATTTTCCCCCTAATAAAAAAACTTCTGTTTATTGATATGTAAATAATTAAAGAGCATCTCATGTCTGACACGCTCAGCCAAACCAGATGCAATGATGGGGATTCCATGAACAGAGCTTCCAGCATATTTTTACCTTTACATACCAGGTAACTCAGGAACCAGATTCAGATTGCTAGGTCGGGGTGAAGCAGTCTTCTCTCTGAAGTGTTTTCCTGATCCAAAATGCCGCATCAAGTTATTATATGTCCCACTGCAGAAACACAGTTACTGACATGGGTACTTCATTTGAAGACTGAAAACAGCAGGGGAGAAGGTTTTAACTGCTTCTCTCCTTACTCCCAATTCGACTTATGGGCCTGCTAGTTAAACAAAATGACGCTGGAAGTTGTGTTCACAAAACTCTCCCTGTCATGTCTGATTTGGCTTCTTGGCAAACCTTGTAGGATTTCTAGCTTATTTGTTTTGCCTGCTGTTGGCTATCTTAACTCTCCATCTAATTGGTTTACCAGCGAATCCCAAATGGAAGATTTCAATCCATCTGAAATGTATATAATTGACTCCGCTTTTATTGAGCAAGGACCTAAGAGTTGGGAGTTTGAGAGCTCAAAAGTGCTGCTGCCATTTGCAGAAATGAGTAGCCAGCTGTGTGACCCAAAGGAGTCTTTGAAATAGTCATGAGTCATAAGAATTTTCTGCAGCCAAGGTAAGCTTTTGAACCCTGACTGGATATGAGAAGAGGGAAAAGCATTCTGCATACGCCCAGTTGGAACCTCCACGGTACCTCCACAGGACCTCCACGGGAGGTCTGATCGCGTAACTGCGCAGTAGTTTGCCCCAGGGCAAACAGCCACGCTTCTCCCCCGCAGTTTCCTGCCCGTGTGACCGGGGCCCTTGTAGGATTTCTAGCTGATTTGTTTTGCCTGCTGTTGAACTGTCCACCCCCCTTTTGTTGTCCTTGATAGGTATACAACAGCAGTAACTTGTCTACATCAATAACTTGTCTACGTCAAAGGAATGGATCAGCTGTTGGTTTAGGTATCTTCCCCGGTAACACTGGCCCCTGCCACACAGGGGAGGGGAGAAAGCACGGCTGAAGTGCGGCTTTTTAGAGCCGCACCAAAAGAGACATGCGGCAGTGGGATCACATAGATCTCCTGAGCCACCGCACCGAACTGCGCATGTGCATGCATGCGCAGCTGACTGCCTCGGTCTCCCATCGGTGGTTTCCTCCCCGGCATCTGATCGTGCTGGGGAGCAACGGTGCGGCGGCTCAGGGGATCTGTGTGATCCCGCTGCCGCGTGTCTCTTTTGGTGTGGCTCTGAATAACCACACTTTGGCTGTGTTTTTTTCTGCCGTGTGGCAGGGACCCGAGGTAAGCTTTTGAACCCTGACTGGATAGGAGCACAGATGAAAGCATTCTGCATACTCCCAGTAGAAAGGAGCAAGAATCCAGTAGCACTTTAAAGACTAACAAAGTTTGTGGTAAGGTATGAGCTTCCAAGAGTCACTGGCCCTGGTCACACTGGAGGTTTTGGCCCGGAAGAGGGACGGATCGGGGGTGCAGCAAACGGGCGCAATCAAACTGCAACATCTGGAAAGCGGCGCGCACCCGTCCCTGATCCATCCCTTCAGGCCAGTAACGTGGAGCAAAAAATAACCTGCAAAAGGGAAGGACTTACCTGAAATGCCGCAGCAAGCACAGCCGTGAGATCGCCGGCACGTCCGTCGTCAGGAGCAATCGAGGCTCCCAGCCGAACTGCGCATGCGCACACATACGCAGCCGGCCGCCTCGTGTTCCCTTCCGTAGCTTCCCCCCCCCGGCATCTGATTGTGCCGGGGAGCAACTGCGCAGCAGCTCAGGGGATCTGTCTGATCCCACCGCCGCATGTCTCTTTGGGTGCGGCTCTAACAAGCCGCACTTTGGCTGTTCTTTTCCCCCCTGTGTGGCAGGGGCCACTGTTCACTTCTTCAGATACCCCCATACTCCCAGCTGAGGATCCTCCTTTTCTCCTACCTCTTTCCACTACAGTGGTAATGTTGCACTAGCCATGTGGCAGATTATGGCTTTTATGCACAGTAATTGCCACTACATAGAATATATTTGAGGAGCTGCGGTGGCTCAAGTGGTTAAGACGTAGTTCAGCAGTTCGAGACCCGAGTGTGCCGCGTGACGGAGTGAGCTCCCGTCTCTGGTCCCAGCTCCTGCCAACCTAGCAGTTCGAAAGCAAGAAATTGCAAGTAGATAAATAGGTTTCTGTGGGAAGGTAACAGCGTTCCGTGCGCCTTGGTGTTTAGTCATGCCGGCCACATGACCACGGAAACGTCTTCGGACAGTGCTGGCTCTTCGGCTTTGAAACGGAGATGAGCAACGCAACCCTAGAGTTGGACTTGACTGGCTTTCGAGCAAGGGAACCTTTACCTTTTTAAAGATAAGAGCAGGGGTCATTTCCTGCAGGAGCGCATAGGAGCAGAGCTCCGACAGTAAAGAGCCCAGGGTGCGGGCACATGCAACAAGCCCCACCCCCTGCTCCCAGAAGCCCTCCGTCAGAGCAAGAAGCAGCCAGGTAAGTTGCAGAGCCCCCCCAGCCCCCTGGTCCAAAACAGTCCAGTGGCACCTTTAAGACCAAGTTTTATTCAGGTACAAGCTCTAACTCCTCTGCAAGGACAGATCGAGCAAGGGAACCTTTACCTTTACCTTTTTAGAATATATTTAATTAATAATTTAATTAAATAATTTGTCATTTGGTATTTTGATTTAACCAGAGATCCAAATGGCAGCTTTCTCCTGTTGAACCATGATGTAAACCATTATGTTTGGCACACTTCCTTCAACCCCACTTGACTATTCCTAGGCCATTCAGAGACAGCTAGGGCTGGCTTTACCCTGACGTTAAACACAACAGTTGTACATGGCCCCTCAGTTACACTTGTCCCACGGCAACTCCATATGGAATGTCTGCTGCTGTGGTCCACATCTCAGAACTCGATGGCTGACCCTAACCTCTTGTCAGGATTCAATTACCAGTTGTGCAGAGGTATAACGAGGGTAGAAACTTGTCCATCATTTACAGAATTACCTCTATTGATCCCTCCTTGTTCTCTGCAACAAGGTTTGAGAATAGCCGTCTCAGAACAAAGGACCTGCCTGTCCTCTTTGTCTGCCAATTGAATGCCGTTAGTTCCTGCCTGTTAATCAGCTTCATCTGAGAATGCTTTTCTAAACCTGTGAAGATTGTGCCTAGGGACAAGGGGGTTAGGCAGGGAAAACTGTATGACAGGAATGTGGGTTTGTGCACTTCCTTGGTTAGTCGCTCTGGAGTAACTTTGTGAATGTGTTTGCTGGCAATAACATGCCGGAACAAAAGTAATTACCATCAGCCCAGCTATTAGGGAACAGATTTGTATTTCTTAGGAAATCTCTCCAGCAGGTTAAATATAGGCAAACTGGCCACCAGCCAGCAGCTTAGATCCTCTGAGCTACCTTTTAATTGGCTGTGCAGAAATCCTCCCTCTGCAGCTCTAACGGCCCTCTTATCACCTCCTCAAGCTGACTTTAAAATTCTCCTGGATGCGACAAGAGCTTCATTTTGTGAAAGAAAGAAAGAAAGAAAGAAAGAAAGAAAGAAAGAAAGAAAGAAAG